AATATAATAATATATTATATTAGTAATATACTAATATAGATATTATATATTTATATAATATAGGTTATATAATTAGTATAATATATTATTTATATATATTAATATTAGGGATGTCAAACTGACTCGTTGTTCGCGAATAGCTCGTGTTCGGCTCGTTCGTTAAGAAACGAACACGAACAGTGACTTCACGAACAATTTCGAACCCGAGCTTATTTCAAAAAAACTAAATTTCAATCGAATCGAACATGAACACAAGCTCTATTAGTTCGTGTTTGGTTTGTTTACACCCTACTTGTATCACCGGATGGGCCACCCCAGCCAACTGACTAGCAAACTTGCCGGGTAAATCCAGCAGTGAAAAGATGTCGGGTATATGAAAAAAGTCAAACATATGAAAAGCGCTAATGAGGACCATTAACTCCAGTAGCATAATGACTTATAACTCCAAGAAGTGTAATAACTTGTAATTTCTAAGAACTTAATGGCTTGTAACTCTGAAGAGCATAATGACTTGTAACTTCTAAAAATATGACTTGTAACTCTCAAATATGATGATGTAATTTTTCAGATCCATCTATGGTCTCTAATAGGATGATATTTTCATGTAAATGGTGGAAGTCATTTTGGCACTCTAGTCATTTAGGCATCACTCTCCCATTCCTTTTTAAAAAAAATTCTTATTGTATTAAAGGGGCCCGAGAGCCTCGTGAATACCCCCACTTTGTCATGTTGGGGGTAATCATTGTGTCACCCCTTCCTCTCCGTCTCTTTGTCTCTCTCTCTCTCTCTCTTTTTCCTCTCCCTTGGTTTCATGTTCTATGTTTTGGGAATGGTCAAAATGATAATCTTGGATCCAGCATTTAGTGCGATCAACAAGCATATGATTAAGAATGACCAAGAAAGATCTTAACGGGATCGACGAGCCGAGCGCGCCACTGTCGAAGTTGCATGCACCAACCAACTGACCACCCCATTTGTACGGTCACCCTCCCATCATCCAGTTGGCTTGCTCACCCTCCGTCCTAAAAAAATCTAATGTGTCGAACGTCCCTCAAACGACATGTTATCCTACCTACGCCGACACTCTCTCGGCCGACCCGCTCTCCTGGCCGACCCACTCTCGTGGCCGACCCAATGTTCTGCACTTGAAACCTCACCCAGTTGACCCACCTTCCCGCGCCAGAAAACGCATCACTTAGGAGACCCGCAGTCCAGCAGCATAGGTCTCCCGGCTAACTCCCTGTGTTGATGGTTCTCCAACCAACTGGCTTTTTCGCTTTGGCCCGTAATCCTGCGTCTCAACTCTCCCGGCTGACCCATCGTTTTGCGCCTGAAGTCACATTCTGGGCAATTTCTCACGTTTTTGTCGCACGATCGGATTCGAGAAAATCTAAGACACACATTTAGAGTGAGGAAATAATGAACTCTCCTTCGGAGTGAGTGAATCAACAATTCTCCTCAAATATGAGTGAATCAACAACTCTGCTTTGGGGTAACATAATCAACAATTCTCCTCCAAGGTGAACGAATAACAACTCCCCTCTTTGGAGAG